TATAAAAATGTACTACAAAATATTTTGCACTTGTAAAACTATAAAAAATAAGTTCTACAAGATAATACATGCCTAAATAACGCTAAGAGCTTTATATAACAGTTTCGCAAAAGGTGTTTTAATTTTCTATATAGACTGTAATATTTTATTCCCAGTGCACCCTTAAGCGACTCCTCGGAGCTCGAAGTGCAACTATTCGCTCCACTCCTGTCGCCAAGTTGTGACAGTTGGCAAAGGATAAGCGCAGGCTGCGGCACAAAATTAACCACAAATGAGGACAGTGCCGAGAAATGTGGAAGTTTCGCCCATCGAAGTCGAAAGCAGGTGAAAAGGATGTCGCGGCTTTGTAGCGCTTGGTTGGCCAAGGATTTCAGCGGCTTCCTGGACGGCCACTTGCGGATAACTGCGGCCACAAATGAGCTTAGTTGATGTTTTACTCCTGCCGCCCATTTTCCTTATCCTGGTTTTCATGTAGCCCCGTTTATGCGACAAGTCGGTGGGTATTTCGGAGCTTACACTCTAAATGTCCTTATTGCTAATGTTTTGCTTCTTATTGAATTAGCTAAATGTTTCAGAAGTGGTGTCAAATCTAAGCTGGCTTTTCGAGGGGGAAAGGATACACAATGGCTTGTTTGGTTTAATGGAATAAGTATTTAAAATCATTTCCGGATTTAAGTGAAATGGATCTGGAGTCTGAAACCATATGTGCTATAACCAATGTGAAACAAAAGAACAACTGAGAACTGTAATACATATTATATATTTCAATCCGATTGAGATACAGAAAGTTTATCTTTTATATTTACTTTAACATCTTCATCTCCAGATTAACAGGAAATAAACCCAAGCTCGGACAGAACAGCCAAAAGCTGAGACCCTAAGTCCTTACTGCAGCTCGGTGTAAACCCAGTTGCAACAGCATTATCCTTGGACTGGTCTTCCCTTGCAGCACTTCCTGCAACCTTCAGGCCACCTTTGCAGCCAACTAATAGCCGCAACCATGGCGACTTTGTCACACTTCAATGAGCCGCAACAGCAATAAAAACAAATAACAGCTGAAAAGTTGTCAGAGGGAAAAGTCAAGGATGGGGAAAATCAAGGGGGAAATCCAAGAGTGAACTGCATTTTCCACACCAAATCGAAGTTGCTGCTGGTGCCGTTGGCATTGCTTTTAAGCTTAGTTAAGAAGCACTTTGAAGAGCTTTTCCTAAAGCTGCCCCAATGTCCTTGCCTTCGGTTTTCCTTCCCCCTGCCGTTGGAAAATTGTTGCTTCATTGCATTTTATGCTTGTTCAAGTTGTCGTCGGAAATTGCTTATTTATTTGAACTGCTCGCTTGGCCAACAAAACCGAAACTAAACAAGGAAAAAAGGAAATCAAACATCTAATGGCATAATTCCCGGCCTGTCTCACTCGAACCTGATGAGTTTCCCTGTCCGACATTGGGGCAATAAATTTTCCCTGGAAATGGCTCTGTTTTTCCACTGCACCGACTGACTGACTGACAACTTGTCGTTTGTTACTACCAAATTCAATGAATATTTTCTTGGCTACCGACCAAGAGAGAGCTAGGGGATGGATGGTGAAACCATTTTATTGACTGCATTTTCCCACATGAGATTTGGAGTTTTCCCCCCCTGGGCCACAAGTGAAAGTGGCTGCATATTTTTTGCATGGCTTGCTGCAGGTACCATAAATTTTCCAAGCTTGTCAACTGTTCTTCTCCTTCGAAAATTCATTCAATTTTCTGCCCTTTAAATTCTTAATTGTGGGCCGTTGGGTAGGTCTGCAAAAATTGTTTACACAAATATCAATAACAATAAATTGTAGATTTATTGGTGACTGGGACGTAGCGAAGAGAGGCAAAAACAAAATACAAATTAATATATTTTCAAGAACGAAAAACAATTTGCCTCCGAAGGAAATTTTTCGAAGCCCAAGGCCCCACAACAATTTGTCTTGCTTAATCTCAGTTCATTAATTTAAAGTGCTACTTGCAGGAGAGCATAGAAATACTCAATGGAGTTGGTCAGGGAATTTTCCCCCGTCGTCCTGGAAAATGTCAAAACATCTTTCTGGCCGAATTTGCGGTTTGGTTTTCTTTTAGGGCGAAAATTTGTGGGCCGCTCAAAGTTTCTCTCACACAAAATTTAGTTCCATTTGGCTAAGCATTTTGCAATCATTGGCAGCAGCCGTTTTGAGGATTAGGGTCAACTGGCTGTTGTTGTGTCTTTAATAATTCATGAGCCATCTCTGTGGCTGACCTTCGCAATTTCTGGGGTCAATTTATTTTGGCTACCCAAGTCATCCATCAGCCAAAGTCGCTCAAGCCATCAGCTAGACAGACAAAAAGTCGAGCCCATAATTCTGTGTAGGTGTGGCATTTGTCAAGGGTTTACTCTGATTTGATGTTGTGGACAAAAGACATAGATTGTTGCTGGGGCAATAAATTGGTTTAGTTTGTAATTAAAAATGAAAGAGACATAATTACATTTTAAATAAGAAATATGAAAAATGGTTTTGTAGAAAAATAAGATAGATTTATATTTGAGATTAAACATTTAAATAACCTCTTCTTAAAGGGAAAAAGTATAATAAATGAATGTTTTTGACATTTTTAGAAATTTTAAATCTTTAGTAATACAAATAAGATTAATTATAGCTAAGTTTCCTTTAAAAGTGAATATAAATTTTAAAGATATCCTATGCTGAGATTTCAACACCTTCATTTTCTGCGCTCTCATCTGTTTACCGCCATCTTAATTTCATCAAATTAAATTGGCTTCCTCGACAGCTTGGTTTTTGATCTTCCGCAACCCGCCACGCCCTCTGCCACGCCCCCACACCTGGCGCGCCCCCAGCAAACAATCAACTAAAGCAACACGCACACACACATTGGAACACAATCCACCATATACAGCGCACACAAGTGCGCTCCAATGATTCAGACTCCGGTGTCGGCTACTTTGCAGCTGCCAACGCCTTCAACATTTCACGCTGTAAGACACCCTGCAGAATCTGCACTGTGAGAAAATCTTAGGACCTTACAAATTAAAAAATTAATTTAAAATTTGTACAACTAAATTGTGTATTAAAATTGCCTAAGTACGAGTATTAATGCAGCCATCAATTAACTTACATATAACCTACCTTAAACGCCCGAACAAATACTGTCTATTTGAAAAGATTATAACAATTTGTGTATATCTTTTCATAATTATATATTTCTAAATTTTCTATTTTCCAGGAATAGTTTTTATTTACAAAATATAAATGTATTCTCCGTAATTCGTCCCCTTTTTTACCTCCTATAGTCTCACACGGCTTTTTCTAACTGCCATCACCTGCAGACGACCCCAGGTAACATTTTTTATGCGTCCTATTTGCAGCTTTCATGCTTCGTCTGTGCATTCCAGCCTCTGGCATTTCAACGACGAATGCAATTTTTTGATATTTCTAAAAAAAAATAATATTACAGGTGGGTTAACTAAAAAGGGTGTTGGTTTACAAACTTCTGGGTTCATGGCACATTTTTAAAGTGAATAACGAAAAGTTTTAAATCCTATGTGCAGCAAACTAAATATGTCTGCATGCCAGAGTGACATAAAACTTTTCGTACATCAATAAAAATTCTACCGTTTTTAAATAAAAGATAGATTTTTAAGACGAACTAAATAGAATTGTTTTTTGTTGGGAAAAAAATTAAGAAGTGAATAATAGAAAAAGAAAGTTTGAAAAAATCAGAGCTTAGAATGAGCGAACAATAGGAGAAAGCAAGGGAAAGGCTCAAAAAAAAAGATGCAAACAAATGCAACTAAGCATGCAAACCTTTTACACTAGTGTGGGTAGGTGTGTATACTGTGTATACCCTTATGTAGGTGTGGTGTATGTGTCTATTTGAAAAATTTCCTTACCTAAACACAAGCATTTGTTGGTTTCACTCCTTTTTTAGCCCTTTTTTTGCTTTTACCAAACTCCAGGAGGTACTGCATTTATACTCTTTCAAATCTATGGCTGCCTAACCTGGCTAAAAAGTTTTAAATAACTATTTAAAATTACAAGAAGCCATCCAATAATGCTTTGAGCATAAAACCTAACAATAAAAATATTTTACTAACCACTTACTATCTAATATAAGCACGGGTATTTCTATATACTAAATACCTTTTTTCTTTAATATCATTTAAAACTAAGTTTATATATATTTTTGAATTTATAATAATAACCAAATATATAAAATATTAGAAACATTTATAGAGTATTCAATTTTCTTGGAAGTCATCAACCATTTTGTTTGCTTTTCTCTTTGTCTCATGCTGCGTCGCCGACAGTTTTGAAAAAAATGAAAGCGCTCGACTCGGCAGTTGGCCCATTCCAGTGCCACACCCACCGCCACTTCCACCGCCAGCCGCCCACCATTGGCAGCCTCAGCAGCAACGGTAGCATAAATTTCCATTACCGTTGACAAATATTTACACATCGACCTCAATTCATATTCCTTTTGATGCTGTTGCTTTTAGTTTTGCCAGTCGGATGGGAGGATTGGATGCGGATGGGGTCGATAGGGGTTTGCGAGGGGGGCGTGGCACTTTTTGCAGTGCCGCAGCAATTGCTGCTGGCTATTAAAAGCTGCATTTAGCACTATTCGCTCACACTATGTCTCTGTAAACGCCATAAGGCCATGTACTGCCTTAAAACACGTACAAAAATTATACCTTTTTTAAGCTCTTTTATGTGACGGAGAGAGGTGTTCGATGTATAATCACTTTTTGCCATTCTGGAACAATTTCTTATAAATATTAATTGATAACATTAAGGTTACCAAATTTGTTTGATGAAAGTCTTAAGAGAAAATACCTGTTTAGTTAAGATTCCTAACATTTTTGATACCAAATATTTGGTATGATATTAGTTTTTTTTATTTTAGTGTAGTATTACCCATAATTTTAGCTTTCCCTCTATGAGCAGGCCTCTCCCTTTACTTCCATAAATCCACCCAGTCTGTAAAACCCACAACCTGTCAGCCATCAGTCAAAAAATTCGAATCGAAAAGCTGAAAAACCACCAAAAATGTTCCGAATCGCTTGTTTCATTTTGCTGCTCATCCTGCTAAAGGACCTGGGAATTTCCGATGGCGAGCCCTATAACAAACAACTGACCATATTTGTCGAGGCTGGCAGACAGGAGTGCTTTTACCAACCGATTGCCTCCACTGAGAACATTAAAATCGACTATCAGGTGATCCATGGTGGACTTGGCGAGACGCATATCAATTTTAATTTAATGGATCCGAGTCGTAACCTTCTGATCAATGAAATAAAGCAGGAGAAGGGAAGTCGCGAGCTGGTGGCCAATGAAACTGGGTCTTATAAGATTTGTTTCGATAACACTATTAGCTCTTTTAACCAAAAGATCGTATCATTCACCCTGGAGGTAACCCATGCGGACAAAAATGAGAGGGAGCTGCGAGATCTACGTCGGGAAATGTTAACCGATTACCAATTCGATGTGGCTTACACTGGTATCGATAATTACATGGGCAAGATACATGTGAACCTCATGAGATCCCGGCAATCTCAGGACTTTATTCGAGCGATTGAAGCCAGGGACCGAAATCTGGCCGAATCGACCTATGCCATGGTCAACAATTGGTCGTGGACTCAGTTTTTGACCATGATATTTGTTGGCTTTCTGCAGGTCCTGATGGTGAGAAGTATTTTCCATACAACCGGAACGTTCCACAAGTTTTGGAAATGTTTTTAGTCGAATTGTCCATCACTTTTGGGAAATGTTATTTATAATACTTGTTTCAGAAATTCTGGATTACAACATCTTTAAGAAATTCTAAAAATGTATTAGAAATCTTTAGTGATCCTAAAAAAGGTGTTCTTAAATATTTTATTATACACGTATTACAGACTTAAGGATTTTAAACTGTAAGATTCACAGAAATATGTATTTAGTAGATACTTCAGTTTACTGAGAGGTTCCTTCCTCATTTAGCTGCTCCTTGTGTCTGCTTCCTTCTAACGGCAATTTGCACTTCCTGTGTTTAATTTTTTTTCCGCTTCTTGGGCTTGGCCTTACCTTTTGCCACGCCCCTTTTTTGTGCGCCTTTTGCTGCAGCGCATTGTTGGCGTAATTAACAACTGCGGCTCCCGTTGGCCATTGTTTACTCAGTGGCAGCCAGCGTCGCAGTGTTAATTACTCCCCGGCGTACCAGAGTCTTGCTTAACCCCACCCCGCCTCTTAACCCTCGTGTGCCCGCCGTTCTCCTGGGGGTCCCACTGACACAGTGGCTCACTTAGCCTTCGAGCTGCCTTCCTGTGTGACTTTTGGGCGAGGCTGGCGGCGATGACAGCGCTCCCCCGTGCCGGCGAAAGGTGCAAATTAAAGCGCCACCTGTGGCCAGTCAAGTGCCCCCTATGTGTGTCAAAGGGTATGTGTCAAAGTAAAGTTGGCAAAAGAAATGCTCTGGACAAACTTTGTAAATCCGATTTAAATTTAAGTTTTGGGCCCAGGAGTGCCGGCCATCTTAAAGGTGGATTGAAAATACATTCCCAACAAGCCACATTAATTATCCAAACTCATGAGCCAAGAAGCAAAATCAATATGTTGATGATTTATTAAATAAAATATTTAAAGAAATTCAAATTATCAGAATTAGTTACTTTTTTCTAGTCAATATTCAATATTAATTTGTATACCCATTAGTCGGGAAGAAAAAGGAATCGTTTCCGACCCTATAAAGTCTATAGATTCTTGATAGGGATCACTAGCCGAATCGATCTTGCCTTATCAGTATGTCAGTCTGACATTTCCTTTTAGTGTATAATTTTAAAATGTATGAATTACTACCTCTACCTCCTGATAAGAACTTAATTGTAATTAAAAATGAAATAGAGTAATTGGTATCTGATAGTCGAGGCACTTAACTATAGCGTTTCTTCTTTTTTTTAATATTTTTAAAATTTTGTAAAAGCCAGCTCATATTTAATTTAATCCACGCTTTGGGCATTTAAAATGCCCCTCCATCCACATTAATTTTGGTTGGCGGGCACGCCCAAGCATGGGCACACTCACGAAACGCTTAAGGACTTAAACGCTGTCCTTGTTGCCGTCATGCAAGGAATCCGTCCAGAGAAAAATTCCCAGAAAAAACGAGCCTTACATGTACGCTTATTTCTTGGCATTTTAACGAGCTTTATGGGCAGTTTTACTTTTCACATAAGTGGAGTTTTAAAGACCAAAGGGAAAACGCCGGAGGAGGAGGACTAACGATCGTTTATCAGTGCCAGAGGAAATGCAAAAGAAAAGCCTGTGTTAATTTCATTACGTCGACTGCAAAGGCTGCACAATCGTAAAAAAAGACATTTAATTGCAGCTGCCAAACGATGCAAAGGCGGCGCTGGCCATTTTAACGATCAAATTATGGCCGAGGAGGAGTTGCAGGCAGATATCCCCGGCAGATAATGTCCTGTCCATTTCTGCCATGGCGCCAGCTGTCATCGTTCTTCAGCAAAATCCCCCCTTTCACAGCTTAATGAGAAGGGCAAAAACCGGGTGACAAAGTATTTAAAGTTTTCCTCCAGCCCATATCCTTGCATCTTTTTGACTACCAGTATGGAAATGTATGGAACAAGTCCACACACAGATTAGAGCTTAGTAATCGCCTTTAACACAGATAAAATGTAGGTATTTTCAATAAATTGAAAATATAAATAAGCAAAAACCAGCAGAGCATGTGTTCAGCAAAAGCAGACGAAGGCGTCGGTTGACAAAATATTAATGGAAAAGTCACACAAACGAAACTCGATAACCAATTCAAAGCTGTACACTGGGTAAAAATGTCTTGATGAAATGTTTTTGCTGAAAAATGCTTGTTTTTAACGATTAAGTATTCATTTACAATGTAGTATTTTTTTAAAGTATACATTTTAAAATAATTTATACAAATATTAACTGAATTTATTTTCACTTAAATGATTTCTTTGTATTTTATTCACATGTAAACCCATAAGCTGCCAACCAAGTTCAGGTTACGGGTGCACAAAGGCAATCGGGTAAAAAAGGGGTGTGCGTAGCTAGGAATAATTACATGAATATGTAAGGATAAAACTATGTTTTGGGGCAGAGCTTGAATAGAACTGATGACAACAACAGAAAGCAAAACAACATATTTATTTAGATTATGTTTCTCGAGTTCTGTGGGAGATGGCAAGCAGAAGATGCAAGATTCTAAAAGCTTTTACATGCACTTGGCTTAGAGAAATTGACAAACTAGTAAAGGAAACTTTACTTTTTTTTAACTGGTCGAAAGAGTTTCCCAATTGATTTTCCATTGAAGCCATCTTTAGCGGTCGGATAGTAGAACAATGTGTCGGTAATGTAATTACTTTGCTTGTGCGTCAAGTGTGGCAATCGAATAGGATTATGTCGGTTGCGTCATGGACAAACAATGAACACACAATGCGGTCGAATGTCAATGAAAGAGGATTATGATTATACTGTTTAAGGTTCTCAGTAGTTGCAATATAAGGATTATGGCAAAATTGATTTTGCTAAATAAATGTGCTTAATAAGATTCGGCAACTTAGCTCGTATAGAAAATCTTATTCTTATTATCTTATTACTTGAATCTTAAATACAACAAATCATTTCTTAAAACTTGACTAAAATGCTAAAAATGTATTATATGTTTAAACATTTTAAATAAAATGTTTCTATTTTTACTAACGCTTTTATACACCTGAACATATATTTTAGCAGCTAATTTGTGATTCCATTTTATCACCTTCTTACCCCCTCGATTTCTTACTCTTTTATCTTGTAAGTAATCCCATTAAGAATGCAAGTTGTGAGCACATAAGAAAGTAAAGGAGCTCTTGACTTGTTCATTATGCATGACAACTGACAACTGACATATCAAGACATATGGCAGATATTTTTGGAAGCCTTAACACCCTACTGCCCCTTGCCCTAAATTCGCTTCTCCGTCCCACTCAAATATATACATATACGTATTCTTTCATTTAGGGGGGCGTTTTAATTGCAAACTGGCACACAAGGAACCCATTCGCGTTGCCTTGGCAGTCGCCTCTAATATTGCCTTTCGACCATGGATGGCCATTAGAGACGGTCAAGTGGCCACCACGCCCCCTTTGCCACAACCTCCATCTCCACCCATGCCGACAATCAGGCGAACAAATTGGGTTACTGCTCAACTGTCTGGTTAATGGCTACAATGACACAATTAATTGCATGTTGGCGGCCATTTCCAGCACTCGAGTGCCTCAGCTGCCAGCGCTGCCAACGTGAATTAGTTTTGTGCAAAAATTTAATATGCGGCAAATGCTAAAAATAAATTACTAATTAGTTTGGAGACCCCCAAGGCAACCCAGCCACTGACAGCCGCAATATTGAAAATGGCACAGGCAAAATCAGAATTTAGGCGCCATTGATGGGAAGGAAAATGATGCCTTTCTGGGGAAAGTACGATACTTTTAAGGTCACAAGACGTCTTAAAAAATAAAAGTAAGCTTGATACAAAAAATGTATTCCTTTTTAAGAAAATTACTTAAACTTCTTAATTTCGCAATCTTGAAAGGTTTATCACTTCACGATGCTCATTTTTAAAAATATAAGTAGTTAAAAAATCACAAAAGCTTTTTAATTTCGCAATCTTGAAAGGTTTTATATTGGGTGGGCAAGAAAGTCATGTCGTTTTTTTTAGTAATCGTTTTTAATCTAATTTATTTACGACTAATCGAGCACCAGGGTCACACTTTTTAGTATCGTTTTAAAGCTTATTGTCTTAGGTACTATCGACGAAAATTTGGTAATTATTCGATAACATTTGTGGAAGCTATAGCAAATTAAACATGGAGGACCAAAGTGAGCATTTTCGGCATATTTTGCTTTTTTACTTCCGAAAAGGAAAAAAAGCGGTCGAAGCTCGCGAAAAATTGTGCGAAGTGTATGGTAAAGATGCCATGAGTGATCGCCAATGTCAGCGCTGGTTTGCCAAATTCAGGCTTGGAGATTTTGGAGTTAAAGACGCCCCACGTTCTGGTCGACCATCGGCCGTTTTTGACGAACAAATTCAGGCTTTGCTGGATGAAAACCGGCGCTATTCAACGCGGGAGATGTCAGAGAAGCTCAGTGTGTCGCATACAACGGTTGAAAACCATTTGAAGAAACTTGGCTACGTAAGCAAGCTCGATGTTTGGGTTCCGCATAACTTAAAGGAAATTCACCTAACTAAGCGTATCAACATCTGCTATTCTCTGCTGCAACGGATTAAAAACGATCCTTTTTTGAAGCGGATCATTACTGGCGACGAAAAGTGGGTTGTTTACAATAATGTCCAACGAAAAAGATCATGGAGCAAGAAAGATGAGCCAGCCCAAGCCACATCAAAGGCCGATATCCATCAGAGGAAAGTTATGCTGTCTGTTTGGTGGAATTGGAAGGGTGTAGTGCACTTTGAGCTGCTGGGACGGAATGAAACCATCAATTCAGATGTGTACTGTCGCCAGCTATCCAATTTGGCGGAAAAAATTAAAGAAAAGGAGCCGGCACTAGCTAATCGCAAGGGTATAGTCTTTCACCATGACAACGCTAGGCCCCACACATCTTTGGTCACTCGGCAAAAATTAACGGAGCTGAATTGGGAAGTGCTACCACATCCACCTTATAGTCCGGACTTAGCACCTTCAGATTACCATTTGTTTCGCTCTCTTCAAAACTCTTTGAATGGTAAAACCACTTGTCTCGATTCTTTGCTGGAAAAGACC